TTTTTTTTTAAATATGAGGAATATTCTTCGTCTTTGCAATGCTACGTTATTTTTCAGGGACTGCTATGAGACTCTCAGTTTGACAAGTACAATCAGAGGCAACCTCAAAATCAATGAATCCAGTCTGCTACTTAAAATATAGAATAAGAGCATCGTTAGGGGATAAAATAAAAGAATAAGGTGAGCTGCAGAAAGAGGGAAACTTTCAAACATACCAATAAGCTCTCTCTTTTCATTCTCCATTTCTTAAGAAAATTCTTGTGCAGAAGTGCCTGAGTTTGGTGGTACACACTTTTCTGTTTCATATTCATTTAGCTTTGCATTGAACAAACAAGGAGAAAATTAACAAGGTGTGAAATAAACCAGAAAAATAAGTGTAATAAGAAACATCTTGGGGAGAGTGGCAGAAAAGCAAAGAGAAAAACCTTGATCATCGTTTGGTGGAAAATATTTCCTGCCTTTAAGAACTACAAAAAATGAGTTTAAAATATCATCTTAATAACACATGGCTGCAAAATTTTACATCACATATAATCACTGTAAGCTATTTGGGAGAGTGGGTAACCATTGGGACATAGTGTTCAGTATCACAATTTTCCCGAAAAATAAAGAGCAGAACAATGGAAAAGATATTGTTAGTTTTCAGAACCTGTAAGCCACTTCACATGTTTTTACCTCTTATACCAGAAATTCCACTATATGAATAGAGTAATTGAATTCTATCTCATCCGATTAATAATTTTTGTTCTTTGCATTTAAATAGAAATACCAGAGCTAATCAAATTAACCAAAATTCTGATTATTTCAATTCATTTGAATAATTAATTATGCCCAGTAAACGTGACCTCAGTGGACGCTTTTCCTGTAGCATTTCCCTTTCAGATGAAACTGAACAGCTTTTATCCAAAAGAGCTAGGCTGTGAGATAGCAATTCAGACCCAAACTACCTGAAACTTGATTGTGAGACTCAAGAAGGACGGAAGAACTCATCTCCATTTTCTGAATTCAGAAGTCCTGGAATAACTGAGGAAACTAACAAGTAAGAAGAAAGAAAGAAGAAAGAAAGAAGAAAGAAAGAAAGAAAGAAAGAAAGAAAGAAAGAAAGAACAAAAGAAAGAAGAAAGAAAGAAAGAGAAAGAAAGGAATCCCATGGAAAGTAATTTTCCCCAAATGCAAATAAGCCAACAGAGACGATTTTTTTTTCAGCTTTTATCCTCTCAGAATTAAATTATTTTAGATTTGCATAACAAAATATTCAGACAATTCTCCCTCACCTAGTACAGAAGCAGATTTTACTATTTTCCTTTATCCTGCTGTTCTACCTGCACAATACAAGTTGGTTGGGAATAAATTGGAAAATTTTATCATTAGGTCTTCAATACAATACATATGAGTATTTGGAAACATCTGAAAAAGAGACTGATTTTAAGCAGTGTCCACCCACATATTTGCCATAGCACAACTAAACAGCTCTACTTACCGTCTGGAAAATTACTCTGGAAACACTGTCAAAGCACAGTTCTGTTTTTGTGTACAGCAACAATGAAAATTTCCTTATTTCTACTTCTTCATTTATTCCTTACATGGGTGCCTTCCCTGGGCTGCTTTGTGAAGGGGGAGGGGGGGGTGTAGTCAGACCAAGCTGCACATAATGAACTTGTTTTGTTTTCTGCCTTTTCTTCCCTAAGCCAATTATTTGCAGGGAAATGATGGTTCAGTGGTTGGCTGGGAAGAAAACAAACCCTGTGTTTGTGCACTTGGCCTTTCAACTCCAGGGATGAGGGGTAAAACGGTAAACAAGGAAAACAGAACTAGCCTGTCGAACATGATGAGACCAAGATGGGGAAAGGGCAATAAATAAGTAAAAGCAACCACTAACCAAAGTGCTTAAATGTGTATGAGAAATCTTTAGCTAGTTTTTTGTTTTTTTTTTTTTACTACTGATGTTTAAACCCAACTGCCAATGACATATTTGACTAATGTATACAAATGGGCAGAATGTACTGGAACTGAAGGTTTTTTTTCCTAATAAAGCTAAGCAACCCAGAGTCTGCCGTAGAGAAACACCTAATTTGGACAAATGAAGAATTGTGAACAAATTCCTTTCTCCTGCTCTGTTCATAGGGAATGCAGGATTTCAGAAGGGTCATAAACAAAATAAAAGTAAGCAGATTGCCAAGGACTAAAAAAACATATAAAAAGATTCAGGTCAATTTTTATGCATGAAGACTGGGGAAAAAATAAAATTTATTCAATTCCCATTGCGTAGTCTATCTCAGTAAAGAGTTGCAAACTTTTCTTGACCTGCCAAAGTAAATGGCAAAACAGGAAGCCAAAGTCCATGAATTGGGAAATCTCAAATATTTGACATGGCTCTGAATCCACAGATGTTAATAATCATAAAGTTGAGAGTTGTTCTGGAAAAGAAGAGAATAATTTAAAAATATTTAAGCCACGGTATTATATATATGTATATTTCTCTCCTTGGTAATTAGTTCTATTTTTTTTTAAGTCAACAGTGAAATATCATATGTATTTTACATTAAAAATTGGCAAAAACAAAGACAATAAAGATATTCTAAAGGTCTCACGGAGGGGAGGGTAGAGGGTCAAAAACACTGCTAAAATTCTGTATCAATAATAGGCCAATGATCCAAACAAAAATTCTGTTTCTTTTATATCACCTGGAATATAATTCAAGTTTTTATTAATTTTGCTGTCGTTGTTATCATTGTTATTTTAGACCCTATGTACTCTATTTTAGGAATCCATTTTAGGAATTTTCACTTTGCTTACAATGCATTCAAATTCACACTACAATATCAATAATTATGTTGATTAAATATATTTTATTAGTTTCAGTTCTTACCACTGTTACTTATAGATGCTTTGTGTCCCTCTTTCTTGACCTATTTACTCTGATTTATTTTTATTTAGGAGGTCATTCTTATTTAAGCCTGAAGATTTCCCCATAAATGGTAACCTAATATAATGAAGTACCCAAACTCTGGCTATATTGAAATGGTGGGTAAAATATATACATTATATATATATATATATATATATATATATATATATATATATGGTTTACAAAGCTGGATTTCATATCTCTGCATGAATCCAGAAGCTTCACAGGACTGCTCAGTGCTAGAAATAAACAGAAATTAGCAAAACCACCTATTACCCCGAGGAAGAGCAAGGATGTGTATGCTTAGCCCCATCTCTGGGTTAAAAAATATATATACTCCATAGAAAATGAAAAACCCAAACATGTAGGACATGCCAGATATAGGAAATGGGGGGAGAGAATCTTAATTTATTCTTCCTGTATGGTAATATGTCTAGAATATAACAAATGTCATAGTAGTTAGTTGCATTCTGAAGCCAAACTTGGGTTTGAATTCTGGCTCTACCACGTGTCAGCTATGTGACTTTTCACAAGGTATTTAACCTTCCCTCCCCCCTTAAAATGGAGATAATAACAGGATATGTATGTATGCGTGTATGTATGTATGTGTGTGTGTATGTATAGTTACTGTAGAGATTAAATTTATTAGTACAAGTAAAGTTCATAAAACAATGCTTGGAAAATCATAAAAACTCAAAAAATGTTACTTGTTTCTGATAATGCTCCTCCTCCTATCCTTCCTCCTCCTCCTCCTCCTCCTCTTACTATTACTATAAATCTGGAGCCCCACAGAGAAGATGCAAATAATTCTATAGAGATATGTCCAGGATTCAGGGCACAAACCAGTATCGTTAAAGAAAGGTTCCTCCTAGCAGCTAAGCCCATAATCAAAAGTCCACCATGAAAGAGAATCAGCAGGCCAGAAAAAAAGGGGGGAGGGGGTTACTATTAACAACCATAATAACTGAAGATAATAAAAATTATGACAGAGTCTATAAAATATATATTTAAAGTATTAAAAAAGAAATGTGAGATAGTTAAAATAGGAAGCAATGACAAGGAAGACTAATAGGAAAACAGCCCATTAGAACTTATAGATATTTAAAAGGATTAATAAAAGTTAAGATTAAAAACATAATGGATAAGTTTTATATCAGATCAGGCACGGCTGAGGAGGCAATTCATAAACCAGAAATATATCTGAAGAAATTTTATAAAGTTTAGTGCAAAGACAGAACAAGATGGAAAAATACTGAAAACAAATTAAAAGACATGAAAGACATGTCTAATAGGCATTTTATAATAAGGAAAAGAAAGAGAATAAATAGGAGAGAAGATGGATGAACACTTTCCAGAATTGATGATATGAGCCCTCAGATTTAAAAAAAACCATAATGTGTCCTGTGAAGAGTTAAAAACAAAAATCCAACAACTATTTTGCAGTGAGCTTTCAAAACATGAAAGAAAATGGAGAGAAAGAAATACTCAAAAACAATAAAGTAGAAAAGACAAGTTATCAGTTAAAGATCAACAGTTAGCCAAAGGATGCCATAAAACAATGGAATAATGTTGTCAAAGTGCTGAGAGAATATGAATGGTCAGCCTCAAAGTCTATACTCAGCTAAATGTGCATGGAATAAAGATCTCAGCGAGAATTGGCTGAACTAAAAGATGTACTTCCATTAAAAATAAGATTATTTGGGGGCACCTGGGTAGCTCAGTTGTTTAAGTGTCCAATTCTTGATGTCATCTCAGGTCATGATCTCATGATCTTGAGATCCAGCCCTACATTGGTGTCAGCACAGAGTCTGTTTGGCATCCTCTCTCCGTCTCTCCCTCTCTCTGCCCCGTCCCACTCACTCTCCTTCTCTCTCTTAAAAATAAAGAAAATAAACATTAAAAAAATAAGACAATTTTAAGAAAACAGCAAGAGTTGAGTCTCAGAAGTGTTTATAAATAAGTTGCCAGTACTAATTATCTACTGACTGTACACAATATTTTGTGGAAGAAGAGGCAGACCTCCCACCAACCTATACATTTCTTCAGTCTCTGTTAATGGAATCTTAGAGGTGTCTATAATGTTGCAGAGCTTTAATTGCTAGTTAAGAACAGAGACAGATTGGCACAGGAGCAGAGAATGCTGGTGATTTTCACATGGGTACTATGCCATTGGTTTTCTCAGAGTTTGCTGTGGGAGCCTAAAGTTATCGGGATTACTGTCCTTCTCAACTCTTGGTCACGAGAAATCCTCCCATTTCATTTAAGAAGCGGTCCTTACGGGCCATGATCTTACAGATAATGCGGGCAAGGGGCAGGCATTTGACAGTGTGTTCATAAGCAGGGGAGGGGGATGACGATGGCATCACGTGGACAGGTGCGAATACTGGCCTTATGTAGGAATGT